GGTGTTTCCCCTGGGCCGTGGGGGGAGGGAGCTCGGGAGGAGGAGGAACGTGGGGGGGGGGTTCCCCTGTGCCGCAGGAAGGGTCGTCCCCAGGGGAGGAGGAACGCGGGGGAGGAGGAACATGGGGGGTTTCTCTCTGGAGAAGTGGGATCTTGGGAGGAGGCGGGTGCAGGGGACTCTCCCCCTGGCCCGGCACCCTGTTACCTCTCTCCAGCCCCAGAACTCCATCCCCAGCCCCTCTCCCCCCAGCACAGAACCAAACCCCTCAGTTGATATCTGCCCTTGGGGTTGGGAGAGGAGTGGGGGGCACCAATTGCATGGTTCGCCTAGGGTGCCAGTTGCTGGCAGCTAGACCAGTTCCGTTCAGGGGCAGCCCTAGACATCACAGAAAGCATGGCAAAGCATATTTGTGACAGTTATAGTGAGCAGCTCAAATGTAAAGTAAAACTTTGTTTACGAGGAAAAACTTGCATTGAACACATTAAGGAAGTGGAATTATACATGAAACACCTCAACATAATCACTGAATGAAACTGAACATGAATCTTTGCACATCAAAGAAAGTTTAAATGCTCTGTTCCCTCATTTCTTCCAGTAAGTATCTCCCCATGTGCATATAGTGTTTGCATAAGCCTAACTACATACATCAAGGAACAATTGCTGTGTAAGTGCCTTATTGCAATAATAATTTTCATGTGTTTGCATTTTGCTAAAATTGCACCAACTATGAACAGGTCTTTTTTAGATTAAGTCCTTTTAAAAATAGTGGATGAAAAGGCTTAAAAAGCACAATCAAGCAACTGTTTGCCAAGAATTTATTTTGTCATGTGCTAACAGAGCTGAAACTATTGGATTTTTATTATGTAGACATTTGTCTTTAAGACATTTTTAGATTAAATATTTAGTCTTAAGAGAAATTTGTTTAAAGAAAATATTTCTAGCAAGGGGGACGGGTGGAAACCATTTACAATATTAAGGAGAGAGAATATGTAAAAACTTAATTAGTAAACCGTGCCTTCAGAAGTATCAAATGGAGATGGACATGCAACATGATACTGTAATGATACATGGCCACATGTCCCAAACCCAACAAACCAAGTATTAAACTGTTACTGCATTCCAAAAGCGATATTTTAAAATTTTAGCTTAGATCGCAGGCGGGCAATAATTTTTGCAAGGAGGGTGGCTTCATGACTTTTGGTACATGGTCACAGGCCCAACTCCCCCATCCCAGAAGGGGCTGAGCCTCAGGCAGAGAGATATTATGAGTGGAAGAGAGACACTACATGCGAGATCTACTTTGACAGATTGAATGTGTGTGGCACAGATACAGGAGAACGTGTGGCAGTGTGTGAGAGAGACTGTGTGTGTGTGTGTGTGTCGTCTGCCGCTGGTTAAGTTTGAGAGAAGCCATTTGGTATCTCAAACTAGAAAGCTGTCCTGCTCTGCTGTCGTCTCCGCCCCCCCCGCTCTGCAGACATGGGTTACGTGGGGGAAGGAGGAGTGCATAAGCACTTAGAAACAGTAGTGCCTCTTAGGACAGACACTCACAAGTAGGGATGTGAGAGCTGGTATATCAATAGTTGTGTAAGTGCATGAAATCTTAGCAGTTACACGACTACTCGATAGTCTTTTGGGGGCAGCAGCTAGTGCGTTCCCAGTCCTACTCCTGGGGAACCCGCTGCCACCCTGTCCAGCTGCCTTTATCAGTGGGGTGACAGCGGGAGCCGGTCTGTGAGGGGAGCCAGTTTAAAAGCCAACTCCCCTTGCAGACCAGCTGCCTGCCACCCCGGGCAGCTGCCTCAAATAGAAGCATCAATGCAGGGTAGCAGCAGACCCTGTCCGTGGGGGAGGAGGGGTCCGAGCTCTTCATGGACAAAGGCTGCTCCGCATTTAACAGCGGGATAGCAACAGGGGTGGGGCCAGGTGTCACCACGGAGCTGGTGCTGTGTGGAACCAGCTTTTAAGCCCGCTCCTGCTCCCACCCCTGGGGGGGGGGGGGGGGAGGGAAATGTGAGTGGTCAACAAGATTAACTGATAAGCTGAAGCCTTATTGGTTAATCTAGTTGACATCCCTACTCTTCCTGTGCTTCAGATTGTTGCAGTTCCACTGTGTGTTTCCCTCTCCCTGACCTGTGCTCTGCAGAAATGGGTATAAATGGCGGGGGACACCCTGACTTCAGGAGACACCCCTCCATCTCGTTCTCTCCCCCAGGCTCTGCATAGCTGACAGGAGATTCCTGAGAGCAGCTCAGCTTCAGGATGGAGCAAGGGAGGTAGAAGGGCAGCTGAATACACTTTGCTGGCTGTACGTATGCACAAACTGATAATCAGCTGAGCAGGCTGGAGAGAAATGCTTGGCAGGCTGGATATAGCCCTCAGGCCTGACTTTACCCACCCCTGGCTTATATAACACCAATAGTGACCTTGGAGCTAGTTACTCTTTCGTGCTGAAGTGACTGGTTATGGAGAGGACAGTGCTCCCTCACCTGTGCTTCACTGTATCGGTCATTATGCCTAGGAAATGCTCGTCTCCAAAACCATTACTCTCAGGAATAGCAGAACACTTAATTTAAGAAAAAACAAGCTTCCATAATGACATTTCACATGCATTTACCCATTCATTTTTGAACAGCAGGGTCAAAAATGCAAAAACATCTCAACTTTAGTAGCAATTTAACTTAATTATATCCTACAGCCTTTATGCACCACAAAATCAAGTTTAAATAGACAACATGCTTGATTAGAGTGAGAAGAGATTCTCACACCTGAATATTCACCAATATGAAAAAGAAACACTTAGAAAACAAAATGTATATATAATGCCATTCATGTAGTTTGTTGGTAGAGGGACCAGAGGAAAGTGCCTCAATAGCAAGCCTTCTAATAGGGCTTTCTACCACCTTCAACGGTGTACAATAGTCAATATTACAAACCCACATTCTTACTGCTCAGATAAAAGCCAGACACTTATAGTTACATTTCCAAGTAGTCAGTTTTCCAAGAATGGTGTGTGTTGGCACACAAAATGCCAAAGTGAGATGTAGCGTAAAAGTTGGTATATTTTGTGAAAAATTTCTACATGCCATCACCTTAGAAAACAATGTTCCAAAGAATATGCCACTAGAAGGTACAGCTTTAACGGATACCATCAATACATTAATTTGATCATAAACAGAAAAAAAGCACACACCAGGTTCACTGTAACTTTGTGGCTTAAAACTAGCCTGTATCTGCTTTAACTTGACTTTGCTATAGTTCTATCAAATAAGCTACTATGATACAAGAAAAAAAGGTTGTTTTTTTGGTTCTATCAAATAAGCTACTATGATACAAAAAAACAACCTTTTTTTCTTGTAAGAACTGACCTACTAAAGCTAACTTAACAACCCTATGAGGAAGTTATTTCAGAGCAAGGCCACCACAACATTTCAGAATATTGACATCAAATTTGTTCAGTGTCAAATAAAAAAAATATTTTCATTATTCATACCTGCTTTGCCAATCTGGACTGCTAGCTTTGTAAGTTTGCCTTGTAGAACTGATTTTTCTTTCTTTGGCAAGTTTGCTTTCTTTTTGTCTCTCTCATCACCATCTCCACCATCTTCACTTTTTAAGGGCTGCATTTCCATGGCTGCACCATCTTGAGCTTTGGCTAGATTTAGAAACATAGGGGATATATGAATGGATAACTGCATATGAATGAATAGTTAAGAGTTCAGACAGACTCAAATCACCAAAAATCAGTGTTGCTGAACACATGCATTCAGCTGCAACTTCCATCAGTTTTAGTGGTGTGCTTGAAGCCAGTCAGTCATTCCCCGTTGATCAATAATCCCCACTCCCTCAGTAATCTTTGATCAAGGAAAAACAGACTTCAAGGTAACCAGTAGTAATGAATGCTATATTACCTACAGGGACTCAGGGTCACTTCTATTTAGATTATTAGCTATGCCTTTCTGGATCTTAACATGGGCTACCATTTGAAAATTTGGGGTGAAGTTGAAAAATGTGGTTTTAATGTTTACAATTAAAGTCACAAGTTGAAAAGGACAATTTCATATTTAGGTTATGGCAACCTTTACCTATATAATATTTAAACAAACTACAGTAAAACTCCAATAGTCTGGCATCCAACTGTACAGTACTCCCGACAGTTTATAGTGCCTCCTGATAGTCCAGCATATCCGATAATCTGGCACCACCTAGGTCCCAAAAGTTCCAGATTATCTGAAGTCTACTGAACTTTGTACAGAAAAGGCAGATAAAGGTATGAGCACTTTATTAGACACCTATACAAAAATGTTTTTTCAGTGGATATTACAAGATTACCTTTGTTACGATTCTCAACAGCTCCATCTTGTTTTTTACCTGTAAAACAAAGGAACTATAATTTAAAAGCCCTCTTTCTCTAACATACAAGCAATAAAAAATTAGGTCGCTCAAATCTTATTTCTGTTACCTATTGTTTCTCTCACAATCACCCTCAATTTAAAACGTAAGAAATGTGACTGGATAGTTAGGAGGAAAATAACTATTTATCTAATTTGTTTTATAGTGGCATATCAAACTACAGGTTAATAATTTAAGTATAAATATGCATGCTAGGATACACTAGGGCTGTAAGTGTTTAACTTACCTGTTAACTGAAAAGCTAATGTTTATGTTTCTGGGTAAACGCTTGTCTGCTCCCAGGGAGTAGGCTGCTGTCCCATGCTGCAGTCTCTATCAACCCCACTCCCAGGGAGCTAGCTGCCCCATGCTGTGGGCTCTAGGCTCCCAATATGTGTCAGGAACCTGCTGGCCGCAGAGTCCGCAGCGCGGAGCAGCCAGTGCCTCAGGGCTGGAGGAGCCTGCAGTGCAGGGTGGCAGCCGGTTTCCTGGGAGCAGGGCTAGCAGCCAAGAACCATTGCACTCAAGGAACAGATATTTGCAAAGCCCACACATTAGTAGTGGGGTCAGACATATTTTGATATTCAGAGCCACAAATACAGGAGTAGAAGGGATCTCAATTAGGATGTCAACGCCCATTTAATTGGTTAACTTGGTAACATTTATTTGCATATTCATTAAGCAAATGATGAATATTCAAATAAGTTGTTGCTGGGCCTCCCAAAGCCCCCGGTGCCAGCTTTAGTAAAGCTTTTGAAAAGGTCACCCACAATATTCTTGCCAGCAAGTTAAGGAATATGGATTGGATAAAAGGACTGTAAGATGGACAGAAAGCTGGCTAGACCAGGGTTTTCCAAACTTTTTACTTTAGTTGGAACCCGTTTTTTTCAGTACTGTTTTTTGCAGCCCAAAAATATAACTGCATATTAACAAATGAATAAATGTTTACTGTTTCACTCGGATGCATCCTCCACCCAGCCCAGGACAGGGCTAGGGGGACCCAGCGCCACACAGGCACTCTGGGAGGCAGGAGCAGACTGGGGGGTAGGGTATCTGGCTAAGAAGGAGGGTGCAAGGAGGGGTAGGGTTGCCAGGTGTCCAGTTTTGTGCCAGACAGGGCTGGTATTTGAGGCTTCTGTCCGGGAAACAAATTGAGAATATACTGGACACATAAAATGTCTGGCATTTTCCTCATTAGGTAACTTTTATTATTAGGTGTATCAGTTTGTAGTTTCGAACTGCCTGGCAGGTAGATGTGCTCAGCCTGCATGAGTGTGTCTACCAGCCAGATAGTTCGCAACTACTCAAGGGGGCGTGTGGGAAGGGCCAATATGGAATCCCCAGGGCTGGACTCACTCCTGTTTTGCCAGGACCATGCGTGGGATGGCCAGTGCCCCAAGACCTGCGTGTGCCCGGGTCAGTCCCACTCTCTGCCAG